ACATCATTTATCAATGATAGCTCATGTACATTTTATTTGACATAGTCACTCTGATCCCCTCTGGCGACCATAATCATCCTTAGAGCGTTAAAACAAYAGAATGTTTTGGTGTGAAGTAATACATGTTTACGACATAAACCGGAAGTAACTTAGGAATTAAAAAATATTCTTTTTGAATTTAACAAGAAAGAAAATGTACTGTTCCTACAGACTAGCAATTTTTCTTGAATCCAGGTGAATCGAATCCCTTGATATTTGCCATCTAAACTAGTCAAGGGCCCTTAGGCCTCGTTTCCATTCCTTTGTTTTCTATTGTTTTCAATTMACGTCCGGCTTACGTCGTAAGCATCTATTATGCGAAAGGGCAATTCACCTTATTGACGTAGTTCCAAGATGATAACTCGCTAAAGAGACTCTTAAATGAAAGTACTCGTTAATAGTTTAGTTTAGCTGACAAAAACTACAATAAGCTACTATAAGTCTGTAAACGTAAGTCGTCATTGTCAGTGAGTAATGAGCCTTTTTGGCGCCGTTTTTGCACTAGTCCCCTGCATATGAGAAAATCCAAGATTACTGATGAAAGTAACTTTGTAATTTCTTGTCATACGAAACGTTGTCTTTAGGTTTTCTGTGTACAGTCGGGTGTAATTGACGAAAACATTACCGGGGCAATTACTCTGCCTCCTGAGGAACATTTTTGGCATAGACATTCAAATCTGAAAATATGTTTACCCCAGAAACTTACACAGGGGAGGGCTCGCTTTGGGTTCTGCATGGAACAGCCTTTTCTTTGTCACCTGGTATACTCCCAACTAACGGCGAGTGAAATATGACTTTTGGAGACTGTAACGGTAGAATCCTTTAAGGGAATTGTGGGACCTAAATTCAACGCCCCATTCTGCTTTGAAATCCCCATGACACGGAATTGATAGTGATGGATTTCGTAAGGATTCACCATATGCCATTCAGAGTGTAAGCTTTTGAGTTGTTTTAACAACTTAAAAGTATTAATTTGCTAATCTTAACTCTTAAGCGTCAAATTGTAAAATTTCAGGAGGAGCCGACGGGGTCTGTTCTTTTAAAAACTGTTGTTGTATGAATATTTCCTGGGAAAGGGATTTTGAGTGGCCCGTATGCAGACGTTATCAGTATATGTCATGTGTTCCCTCTCCGCTAACTCCACTAGTGGACAGGGAACGTATGACMGATCATGATATAATAACGTCTGCAAATTAAASGAGGCTAGATTTTGAGCTACATCAAAATCTAGACAATCTCACAAGCAAATGTGGCGCCCTTCCTTCTTTAAAACAATTTTGTTCCTGCCAAACCAGGGCAAACGTTTTTAAGGTCAAAAAGGCTTATATTTTATATAAGTTAGGATATTTTTATTTTCCTGGCAAAAATTCTTAGAAAGTATTCCKTGCCTGGAGAGTTCTTTTCTCCTGAATTTCTCGCTGGCAGTTGTGACTTACAGCTGGCTGAGACATAAGAACAAATATCTTTCCCCCAGAAACACGTCGATCGTCAAAACGCCGCCGGTTTCTTTACCCGTTTAGGCTCAGAAGAAAAACTGAAAAGAAGCCAGCCCTACACGAGAAGATGAACAACGCCGTCTTTGATTTTCAAAGCTTGGAGTCTTTAATGAGCCACCCAAGCAAGTAGAGAGCGAATGAATGGTAGTAAATATTCCTTATCAATCTAAAGTACGGTTTCTTTCTCAACTACTACAAGTTGTGTATCTAAAGTGTCATCCAAAATAACTTCTCTATTTGATGATGGAATACAACGAGTCAAAATATACAGACATCCAGCAAAGACTTCTAGCGAGCCAGCAGTGTAGAAGGCATTGTTGTATGATCCACTTACGTCTGCTATAAAACCTAAAGACAACATTGATAAAGGTAAACTAAATCTCTGTTTGCATGAGGAAGCTAG